AATTTTTTTCTTTTACGATTTTGTCCTGTTATTTTGGTTGCACACTGTTGCAATTGCACTTAAAAGCTTCACCAAGTGCTTTTCCATACCCCACTGCCACTTCAAATTAGTACTCACTTCAACTCATTAGAACTCATTGCTCATATAAGTATCTATAACTGCACTTTGTATGGTTAATTAACAATGTTGTTTTCTTGAAACTCTCAGAGGGCATTTGATAGTGGCCCTACTGACCACCTGATCTGGGACCCAGAGCAGGGGGCCCCTAAGCAGTGCTGAACCTGTCCTCCACAGCCTACACTTAGGCTGTGTTTACACTTGGCATTAACATGCAACCTGTATCCGGATGTTGTCCACATACACATTGAAAAGACAAGTGTAAACGCGCTTCTGATCGGAATGTTATCCGATCAGCGTGTCCTGGTCCAGAGGTAGTCGAGGACGCATTGTGATCGGATCTCAGTGTAATGTAAACGCAATCCAGCCATCGTGTCTGCATTCGCAGGTTGACCACGCAAAACGCCGCCCCCTCTCTCCCGATCTGTCGGAAGAACAGAGCGCTAGTGAGACTCTGGACATTTTGATTTGTAAAATGTCCCGCGACTGAAAATTGTTTTCAAAAGAAAACCCACCACTTCAGGTCGACTTTACACCGCAGACTTATTTCAATATTGCTTGGGAAATACAGATCCGATCGGTTATCCAGATCGAGAAGTCAGCTGATGTTGCCAAGTGTAAACGCGCCGTGTCCTGATTGACTGATGATCCGATCTGCTTGATCAGATCACGGTGATCGCATGTTAATGCCAAGTGTAAACGCAACCTTAGAGTTTCATAGGCCTCATAAGCTTCAGCTGCCCCTAGATTCTTAAAGCCTGTTGTGACAGAAATTAGTGGAGGGCAAAAATGTGCGAGTGGGAGTATTTTAAAAGTCCACACCCTCCTCTCCCTTGAGTGGCAACGACTTTTCTGTTTTGTGTTAAGAGCCTGTCTGCTCTCTCAGGGGTCCCTTACCAAGATGGTTTACTGGATTTCATTTCTTTTTTATGGTCATTTCATCTATATGAAGCTGAATAAACAAAGACAAAAAAACACTTTTATGTAAACTCTAAATATATAATTGTACACAATTTGGTGTGTGTGTTTTGTAGCTAATTTAAGTAGCATAATAATATTATAGTAGTATAATAATATTTTACTAAAAATAGAAGTATAATAATATTTTTAATACAAGTAGTAGAATTATAAAGTAGCATTATAAAATTCTTTTTCTATATTTTATGTTGATAAAATTTTAAATTATCATTTTAATATTTTATTTTCATTGAATTGTATTTTTGAGACATTCTATTTTAATAAAAATAATTTAAAATAATATTTTTTATATTTTTATTTAATTTTTTGTTTTATTTTGCAATTCTGAGATTCAAAGTTCAGTTGTAATATACTGTATGAAAATAATAAAATACTTTACTCTTTATAGATTACATGTGTTGAACTTGTGGGAAAACTATTTTAATTCACACAGAAAAATAAACTCATGTCTGTTGCATGGTTGAGGCAGATGTTAGAGGTTGAGTGTGGTCTTATATTGATGGAGCGTGCAGCTCCTTTTTTCCTCCTGGCTCAAAGGAGAAGGGCTGAAAGATATAGAGAAGGAAAGATAAACATTCAGCAATAAGCTAACTCATTCTCTTACTCTTTTGGGGGCAGTCAAGGTCAGAGGTCACTGCAATGCGAGTGCCTTGTTAATCCATTGACCCGCAGTGCAGAGGGTTAATAACTGGTTTGCTAAGCCAAGGGACCCCAAATCAGTCAGATTAAGGAGATTTTCCAGGAATGTCCAGGTTTATCTTACGATTGGTGGATTGTTTGGGTTTGAGTGTCCATGAACTGAGGTTAGTGGAATTAGATCTTTAAGCTTTTCCTCAAACCCTGGAGGAAGGAGGTTAATATTACACCATGGTTTGAAAACACAATTAAGGCCAGTCTTAAGCCTTGTACACACCGGGACGATTATCGCGCGCGCTTATCGCTGACATTTTTCGACGCTTTTGTGTTCCTACCCAAGCGATTTTCGCAGGCGATGAGCCAAGTGAACGTGCAAATTCACTCCCTGACATTAGATGGCGCTTAATGAAAAACAGAAATACCCCGGTACACATCGAATCCTACTTGATCTGCAATTCCTCTCCATAACAACTCCCTCTTATCGAGATTTTTGTAGTTGCTGCCGCGTTTGTCATAAAGCCCTTTGTGTTCAGACACCAATGAGACCAGCAGCTACATTCATCTTGCCTCGATGCATCTTCTTGGCCTACTTACTTCCTCTTTTTCGTTAGGTATCAATGTGTGCTCGGCAAGACCGTTTTGTGCTTGAGCGCCACCAAGTCGTGTTTTACTGTAACTTCAGCAGCTCCAGGCACGTGAACAAAAGCGCCAATCTCATTTTAACGCGGTGCATCAAACCAAAAAAACGAGCCCGAGGCGTTTTTTAAAAAATGACGCTTTTACGCCTCGCGTTTTGCGCGTCGGTGTGCACACTCACATTGGCGCCCTTTGTTTAGTCACGAGGCGTTAAACGTCGGCGATAAATATTCGTCCCGGTGTGAACAAGCCTTTAGCGTATAATCGTTGCAGATGTGGTTGATCAATTTAGTCTTAAATTTGTTTTCCTGGTGTTAAATATTGCCATGTTAGTCCCAACAATACACAGCGCAGCTCTCGCCCGCTTGTCATTTTTTTAAAGATGCAGTCACATTTACTGTTGCTTGGAAAACTTTTTCCAGTCATTTTAAAAGCAATCCACGCAAAGGCTCCCCAATTTCCCCACAGAGATTTTGCATCGGGTTCAGTTTTTCATGCGTTGACCAACAGTATACTTTGTTTGAAAGTGACTTCGGCCTGAGCGGTTTTCATACATCACTACACTGTTGACACTAATTATTCAGCAGGGCAAACGGTGCTGTTCTGGGTCAGCCTGGGTGATTCTAACCCCAGTGAAGGAAGGCTGTGGCTGAGGGAACCAGAGAGGTGTGTGCTGCTCATGAAGAGAGTCTCTGTCTCCCTCCCCTTCACAGTAGCTAGCTGCACCCTACTGGGAAATGCATTAGCAGCTGACATCATCTCACTCCAGCCAGAGAGTGAAAGAATATCATTCTATCTCAGTTCCCTCCTCTTCTCTCTCTCTTCCTCCTGGTCGCTCCGTCTCCTGTTTGCACTCTTTCAGGACTCCTCTGCCAGTAGCGCTCATTGAGCATCGTACACGCTCCGTCTGTCCGGTGAAGCTGAGCGGAGGAAGCACGTGTGTGTGAGGCAGAAACAAGCAGGGGGTAGAAGCTGAATGAAGTCAGGTTAGAATCAGGAAGTGGGAGGACCCGGTCGCGCCGTGGGTGAATGCGAGAGTTTGTGTGGATACAGGCTGCACTTGCGCGAGGAACGGGAGCCAGCGACGATTTCGAGGAAAGGAAGCGGCGGTCGGGGTTTTAGTGCGGCTTTACTCCACCCATTCTGCCTATAGGAGGAAAATACTGTATGCTTTGTTGGATTTTCTTGCTCTGCACGAGCGCACGGGAGACAGACGCGCGGATGGTTTGTCACTGAGCGCGCCCCTGACACAAAAGAGCGCAGAAGTCCGCGTCCATTAAGCGACGGTTGGCGAGGATTTCAAACGGCCAATTCGCGCGAAGAGGACGAGCTGAAGGATTTCTCCACTTCTCTGCGCCCTTGGGTATCAGACACATGGCTGCTTTTGTTTGAGAGCCTCTCTCGCTTTGAGCTCTGGATGTTTTTCTTCTTCCTCTTCTTCCCTGGGAAAGGCTTCTTATTTTGCATGGCTGTCATTCAGTCAAAGGGAGCGAGAGGAATTCGCCGCTTGTTTGTGGATTACATTGTTTGACCAGCAGAATGTGAAACGGCGTATTTATCGAAACCTGAAAGTGATTTCTTGACTTGTTATTTTCCTCTGTGCCAACCTCGCCACATCAAAAGGTACACCGCACCTTCATATCTCTCAAAAATTTATTTTTTAGTTCATATCTGGATGACTACAATGTCATTCGACGTTTTAGGGGAATTATTAAAAGCAGTTTCAGTGGATTACTCGATGGCTGGAGGATTTGGAGCGCTGTTTTCTTGTCGTTGGTTGTGGATAATTGTAATTGAAATCTCTGCAGTGAATGTTGCCAGATGTTTTTCGGTTGTAGTTTGAATAAAGCAGTCGCGCAAACGCGACGTTGTGTGGAAACGATGTCTCTTGAAGTCATGTTAATGAATGCATATCACATTATTATTATCATTATTATTCATGTTTTCAGCTGTGAAAATGGCCTTAACGTTTTATTTATAGGCTATAGCTACTTTTAGCTAAGAAATGTTTTTTATACCTTGTCAGTGTCGTTTTTGCCTCGAGCAGGATATGGATATAGTGTTGCCAAACCTGTCAGAATAATTGCTTTCCAATGAAGCTGTTTTTCTGAGAATATATTCTTAGTTAGGTATCCAAAGAAAAACGTAAAAATGCCCCATTGCAAGTTTACATCCACCCAAAAGCTCTTCTGTTTGTTTTTGTGTTGGTTAATCATTGTAAAATTGTTAAAAAGTTCACATAGCTCGTGTATTATTTTCCTCTCGAATGAGAGTCGGGTTAGACGCTAATGGATGGGCTGTAATGGTTCTATCTTTGTTGCTGTTTAGTCAATTGAATTAGCCGATGCCCCTTTGACACCACATTGTCACTTAAATAGGCTTTCATTACCTAAATGCTGTGTAAATTACAACGCTGGATGTTTGCACAATAACATATAGCAATGTTAATGCGTTCAACCTGGTCTCAAGTGCGGCGCGTCGTTTTGCGTATGGAGCCACAGTGCCATCCAGTGGCCGCTCTGGGAAGTGACTGAATTTTTGCGCTCATTAGTGCTGCGCTACCTTTGGATGATAAAGCCCACCTGCTTAGTTCTGAAACAGATGTACTAACTCTCTTTCTCGCTCTCTCTCAGGGCTCCGATGCCAGCTCAGAGAAACTATTCAGCACAGCTGCTGTTAAAGGTATGTGGTGGACTTTCTTCATTCCATTCTGCTTATTGTTTGTGTAAATCACAGTTCTGTAGTTGTTGACAGATTTTACTGTTCATATAGAGGCGCATACTCTAAATTGTTATGGTTGTTGTTTTATGTAAAATTATATTTTAAAGGTGTAATTATAGTGTTATGATCTAAAAATGAATATTAGTATTGTCATGTGTGAGGATAATCCCAGTCTATATAATAAATACTGTTATATATTGTAGGTATTATATATACAACTGAAGCATGCAATCTTCGATGCTTCACAAGTCATAAACTAGAATCCGTCACATTATTCTAGACAACCTTATTTACCAATATTGCATTCAGATTACGTTTAATGTGTTTTGCTTTCCGGGGTGGCATGGGAAATAATGCATTTCCTCAAGGCTGACTAGGATTCCATTGACAGGCACAGTGTGTTGTATCCCTGCTTTCTCACAGCGTATGGGCTGGGAGAAATCCATCTGAGCCACTCTGTTAAACAGATCCCAATGTGCTGCTGAGTGATGAATGAGAAAATCCATTTCAGGCACGCAGCATGTGTAAACGCCACACACTGGGTCCCATGTGCAGCGGCGTCTGGCTTCTGTTATGGAAATTGATTAGTTGTGAAATGCTAAATAAAGGTGGTGGATCTGCGGCACAGACGGTAGTGGAAGAAGCAATTCTACCCTGCTGGTTTGATACTCTGCGTGTGTGATATTGTTTGCCGTGTTTATTTTAAAAGCACGCTTTGTGTTTATACAGTGAGGAGCTGCGATGCGCTCACCATCTGTTCTTTGTGTGCATGTAAACGTCCCACTAGGTGCATAGGAAGTTGGTTCGTGTGGAGTCTGCAGTAAGAACGCGTGAGTCAAAGGATCCAGGGAGTCAGTTGAGTTGCTTTTAAAACCTCAGTGTCTTTAGACAGCAGGAGCCCATCAGCACACTGCTAATTTGCTCTTAAAGCCTTTGGAATTTGAGCCCCCCCCCCCCGTTTTACAAACACAGACGGTAGTGGAAGAAGCAATTCTACCCTGCTGGTTTGATACTCTGCGTGTGTGATATTGTTTGCCGTGTCTATTTTAAAAGCACGCTTTGTGTTTATACAGTGAGGAGCTGCGATGCGCTCACCATCTGTTCTTTGTGTGCATGTAAACGTCCCACTAGGTGCATAGGAAGTTGGTTCGTGTGGAGTCTGCAGTAAGAACGCGTGAGTCAAAGGATCCAGGGAGTCAGTTGAGTTGCTTTTAAAACCTCAGTGTCTTTAGACAGCAGGAGCCCATCAGCACACCGCTAATTTGCTTTTAAAACCTTTGGAATTTGAGCTCCCCCATTTTACAAACCCCGGGCAGGCCAACATAATGGAGCCCAGCCTTGTGAATCCACATTCCTCTGTAATGGTGCGTTACCAGGATGGAGAGCATGATGGGTGGGATGGGGAGGGGGTGACGGAGGCTGGAAAGAAATCTGACCCCGGGGAGGAGGTGAGAGAGAGCGACTGATTGATGCGACAAGCCCCTTGTTCCTCCTTTTCCCCCTTGCTTCACTCCCTCGGGACCCCAAACACATTTCCCACATTCTGCTCTTTGAAGGCCTTTAGAGGTTTGATTTGTGAGGTTCAGAGGGGCGCTGAATGGCGACCCTTTTTCTGAAAGGATTAAAACCCCCTTTGTGCGCCTTAAACTAACACATGCCCACCTCCTCTGCTTCTGAAAAGCTGGCGCTTGGGAAATAATACACAAATATGCTTTCTCTTCCCACTGACTGCCAGGCCACTTCGTCTCCCTTCAGACTCTATTTCCATTTAAATGTGTGTCTTTTCTCTCTCTTTTCTCTCTCTCCTTCACGTTCCCCTTGTCCCCTTCTTGCCTTGCCATATGCAAATCTTTACATTGGCAGAAGGGATGGAGAAAAGAGAATTGTCCTTCAAAACACAGGTGCGAATGAACTTAGGCACTGTGGTATATTTATTGGAGGGTTTTAGGGAGATGAAAGACAGCGAGTGTACACAGGACACTGCTCTCTGTTACAGAGGATTACCAGTCACTCAGACTCTTAACCCTTATGAACAAAAGAAGAAAGAGAACGTAGAACTGAAGAGCTGAGAGACAGGCAACAGAAAAGATGTCAATATTTGCCTGGAGCCTACAACGAGAGGCTCACTCCTGTGTTTTTCATGCTCAGGTGGTTGACGCTCACAAAATGCCACACATTCAACAGCGTGACGAGAGGGAAGAGTCACCTCTGAGAGGAAAATATAGATCAAACTCCAAACGAACAGAGCAAAACAGATCTTAGATCATTTATTGGGCTGTAGGCTGTTTTGAGCACTGAAGTGGGAAGAGAAGAAGGGATAAACAGATGTCATTGTCAGGTTTGTCTCATAATTTGTGGTAAATTTTAAAGGTTAAAAAGACAAAGATTATTTTTTTCTCTCCATTTCTGTCACTAATGGAGCCTTTGGCTTGCTTACTTGGGGACGCTTAATTTCTGGCAATATTGTCGACTTGATTACACAAGACACTATTGGAAGAGAGCTGAACTGGATGAAGACATCAATAAACTGACCTTAACTGAAAAATTTACTGTTTGTTATTGTCCTCTTGCATTATTGACAAACTGTTTTCCTGTTCGACACCGTAAAGCTGCTTTGACACAATCTGTATTATATAAAGCACTATATAAATAAAGATGACGACTTGATTTAAATATTAAACAGTTTTTTTGGGAGGAAAAAAGATCAAGAAATTAGTCATAGTCGATCTATATTCAAGACTCAAAAATGTGCTAACCTCTAGGTCACAGCCCTCTAAGATATCTTAAAGTTGAACTTGTTCTATGGATGGTAAAATCTAAACTTGATTCTGTACAAACAGGAAGTTTCCTGTGAGTGACAACCTGTTAGATTTACATAGACCCTCTCCTCGCCTCTTCTATTTTCTCCTCTCCTTCTCTCCCTCCTGATGTTTTGTGTAATTGTTGCTTGTTTTCTTTTTTATCTCCTCATTGCTCTGTCTCTCACTCCTATTAAGCAGAATCATTAAATGTTCAACTTAATTACTGTCTCTCTCACATAGCCTGCAGGTGGCTGCCAACCAGCCTGCCTCAATTAGTGTATTCATCTCCTGCATCTTGTGCATCTAAGAAGCCTTTTGCTCGATTTCGGAGCAAGTAAAAATGAGAACAACAGGAACTGTGACCAGTTAACTACTGAGATATCTAACTGTTTCATCTGTGATTCTGAGACACTGTAGCACTATCTTTGTATTTGTTTGTTAATAAGATGTTTTGCAATTATGTTGTTCCCTCCATCCTGTTCAAGGTGGGACAAAACTGTTTGCAAACACACAGCATTTAGTTTTTTTTCTGTCATTATCTCAGGATCTTGAGAAAATGACAAAAAAATACTTGGCTTCTATGGGCTTCCAGTTTGTTGTTGTTATGAACTTGAGATATCTATACTAATAAGTTATCTTGACAAAAATATCTTCAGTAATTTTCTTCGAGATGTGCTTGAAGGGGCTGTCCAATGCAAATTGGTTTTGATCTGCAAGAACAAAATTTAGAGGGAACATTTACTGTATTCATGAATTAAATGCTTTTACACTGTAAATATCTGATATCTTGTTTGTTGCAGAGTATAAATTGAGTCTGACATTGTATTAGGGCATTATATGTCAAAAATATCATATAATCAATATCGATATATCGATAATCGCCTTTAAAAATATTGCGATATCCGATAATATCGTCTACCTAAGCCCCACCTCCACCACTCCCCG